GGTTTTTCGGTGTTTCACTTGCTGTGTCCCGTTTGTCGTCCGTACATTACAATTTTTTTCTCTGCTCCCTTTCTCCTCGGTATTTTTGTTACCATCTCAATATTCATAGCAACGTTGTTGATTTCGAAAACAACAGCAGCACACAGCGAGGCACGACAGAATGAAAGAAAGAAAGGGCAAATGAAGAGAAAAAAAAGTGCTCTGTATTTAACTGTGTGCACCAGCAAATTGTTTCGTGTACACAACCAAATAAAAATCGAGGTCTGTTCAAGTCGATTTATCGTGTGTTCAATGCGCCTTATGTATTTGAACGAAAGAAATAATCAAGACGTGTCAACGAACAACAAGTGTATCGTTACCACACATCTCTTTTCGCCGCACATTTTTTTTTATTCATTTTCATTACACTCTCGCTGCACTGTTACTGCTGATGCCAGTATATTCTACATCATACAGAAGAATGCCAATCCAAAAATATAACCAACAGATTTTTAGTTTCTGTAAAACATTTTTATATCATTTTCTACCCACATTAGAATCCTAAGTCCATTTCAAAAGAAATACCACAGAAATTAAACGCGCACAAAAAAAGCGAGCGAGAGAGAGAGAAGAAGAAGAAGAAACAACATGTACAAGACTAGTTGTTATCAGTTCATGAACCGTATATTTCGAATGGTAAATCGTTATCTACATTACATGAACGTATATGAAATACAAAGGAAATGAGGTTTTACCACTCATCTATGATCGTTTTCGAAATTTTGGTGTTTTTTTTTCTCTCGTCTATTTTTAAAGCGGTGATGTTGTGTGCGAGCGAAAGCAAGAGCAATCGGTCGAACGCGCGCAACTACCATTTCAAATTGAAATTAATATAAATGTGCTCACGCTATTATCTTGCAATTTTCCGACTAAAATATACTAATACACACAGATAGAGAAGCACATTTGACAATTAAGCGAGACTCTCTCAATTGGCGCAACGACAATTTTTTTTGCTGCTAGAATAGTTAGAAGAGTCTCGTCATTGTCATTGTGAATTGATGATGACAATGTGGCAATAACAATAACAGTAATTCCATATAAATGGTCATGCATTGTGTCGATCCTTGATTCTTGTGTAATCTGCCCCTCCATTGGCGTTGAATTAAGACAGATCGACAGAAATTGAAATTAAATCATGCGACTTATCAATCAAAACCGATAAAATCATACATTTTCGGCCTGAAGGTGGAACAGAGAAAGAAAGAAAATGTTTGCTTGAGAAGCACAAAGCTTTTTTCAATGCACATGTATTTGTGGATAGGCAAGGCGAAATCTTTGTTAAATAAAAAGAGAGAATGAACAGAACACAAACACACAGACCTCAAATATACAACAAATGCATTGGTTTTTATAGATGAAACAGCGATCTCATAGCAGCCAACCAAGCAGAGAATTAATGTGCAATGTTACTAGTGTACGCGATCGCGCAAACCCCAAATCGAAATCTATATGCATATATATCTACAAATACAGACGTACATATAGAATTTGGTCGGAGTTGAGAGTATTATTTTACTAAACAGAACCCAGAACACATCATCATCGAATGCAGTGTGCCGTCAGCAACAGCAGCAGTAGCAAAATAGTCGCAACAGCAATATAGCACACAATCGCACGAACGAGGGAGAACAAAATAAACAACGACGACGACGATGATGAAGAAAAAGAAAGAAAAAAAATAATAAGCAACGTACCGAGAGAAGCATTAACAGAAGAGCACAACACAGAATAAACCAGCATACAGCCGAACAGCAGCTAATGTTTTCGGTGATGCATCAGTCATAGATCAAGCGTTACAGCGAGAACGTCATTGACGGAGGAGTGTGAGTGAAAATTCTTCACATTTAAAAAAAAAAAAACTTTTTTTCTGTTCATTTTGCAAATTCATACATATTCCATAAGAAATTTCTTCTTTGGAAAGATCATCATTTAAAAAAAAAGAAAATCAGATTGAAGGATTAATTGTGAAATAAAAATCAATGGCAACTGTTATCGAATGCGAATCCGAATTTTGTTTAACACTCCTAAGAATTTTTGATAAACCGTTATGGATTTGTTGATTACTTTTTTTTTTGTCTTTGATTTGATCGTTTTGTCGGTTTGTCGCTCAATGACAGTAGGCCAGTGATTTAACATTTTTCTATTACATATTTTGGGCGAGATATCAATGAGTTTAGTGTCGGTACATGTACCGATAAAAAAAATTAAAGTTGGATTTCTTTGTGACTGTGTTTATTATATTTGTGTGTGACTGTAAGTGCTGCTGCTGCTATTCACGAAAACAATCGACAATGACAAAAAAAACTGCTGATGGCCGAGAATGAGTTGTGTGTTTGTGTGCTTCTTTGTTTGCTTGTATAATAGAGAGAGAGAGAGAGAATTTTTATCAGTAAATTTATTGCATGGTGTGTTTTTTGAAAAAGCGAGCGATGTTATTACTCACATCATCAACATCATCATCATCATCGCGGGTTCGCACTATAGCGTCCGTCGTTAGCTCTCACTCTCGCTGTGTGTCGTGTGTTGTTTCGATTATCATTGTAGTTTTTTTTTCCTTTTCTCTCTATTTCTCTCTCTGTTACACACACTGTGCTCACTCATTTAACCGAGAGCCACAGTGCCCGTGTGTTTCGCGGTAGCTTCTTCACACAGTTTTCGACTCTATTTATTTTGGTATCTGCGATTTTCGGTTTTTAGTCAATTGAGAATTGTCAAGCCGTTAACTTCGTAAGAAGACTCACATTAACAAGGCCAACTATTACTCGACACATTTATTACGTACGGACAACGGCATCCATTCACACACCGAATAGAGCACAACAAATTATTGTTTTTTAAACGAAAAGTAAGAATTTTAAAAAAGGAAACATTGCTACTCACAACATTGGTCACAATGTAAAGTGGACATCAAATGATCTGAACAGCATATCAAGAGAAAGATAGCATATGTGTCAATAGAATATCATAAACGCAAGGGAAAAACCGCGATTGAAAAAAAAAATATGTATAACCACGACCGACGATGTTTTTGAAACACATCTGATATATACATACATACAGAGATCAGAACGTATCCGCTAAGTTCGGTTCGCAAACACATAATTGCGTTAGACTTTTAATTCAGTTTCATTTCGAGTGTTTCACTTGTTCGAGCTCATCGCTCCGAAATGTGTCAATTTCATTTTGCGTGGTTTTATTATTCAACTTGATCGGTTCTCGTTGCCACTTTTTTTCCTTCGTCATTGCCACTCGTGAGTGAGAGTTTTTGGATATGGTTTTTATTTACTTATTTATTTATTTATTTATTTATTTTTGGTTCGTTTTGTTATTTTCGGAGTTCAAAAGTGTGACATAAATTTCGATTTCAAAATTAATTGTGTGGATCGAGACGTATAAATGGTACAGCGTGAATGAATTTTCGCCCGTAATAAAATTCAGTTTAATTTTTTTTTGTTTTCGGTTCTATTTTTTTATTTGGTCGAAAGGTGTGTCAATTAAAAGAAGAATAGAATAAAAAATAAATAGAAAAACAAAGATGCCATATCGTGCTGATTGATTTGACTTTTCCCTTGTTAGCTAGATTTTTATGTTGGATTTTCCATATTGTGTATCGACGATCGCGTGCATTCAATGGAAACGAACAAACTGTTGTATTTTGTTGTTGTTATTTCTGTGGAAGTCATAAAAATCCATCTCTCGATTTCACGTATGATTTCATTTAGAATAGATGTGAACATTCGCCGAATGGACATTAGAATATTGAGTGTGCACTTTGAAAGAGTCCGATCGGGCGAGAGCGAATAAACCGTATCGCGTAGCTCGATCGATGGCGAATATCATCGTGCATTCCGTTAATGTGTGTTTATTGGTGTGCAGTGTATGCATGCACGACCACGAATAGAGAAAAAAAATGGTAAAATGAGTGCTGAATGTAAGCTACGAAGAAACGTTTAAATTGCAAGACAATTCACCACATGACCACAGCAGAAAATATGACAGAGCAAATGAGATGAGGGACATCACACCGAAGAGAAGAAAAAACGGCAAACAACATTCATGTCAGAAATGAAAATGATTATAAATATCGAATAGAATCTTTTTTTTTTGTTTCGTTTCGTTTTTCTTCTTCTGTTGTTTGTTGCTTGTGCAGCAATTTATGTTCAAGATGCGAGAGTTAGTGTGCACGGATTGTTGAAATTAATTCTCGTAAGAAGTGAATGAGTGAGTTTGTGTGTGTGTGTGTTTGCATTGGATGTGGTGTACGTGGTAAAAATAGCAGCAAATGTTATGGACTCGACAGAGAGGGAGAGAGAGAGATTCAGAAACAAAAATGAGAACTCTGTGTGGATCCATGGAACGAAATATACAAAAAAAAATCAAAGGAAAATTTGTATGAGTCGAACGTTTAACGAGGCGATCGGTAGCCCCGGCTGCGGGTTGAATCAAATCGGCGCACACACATTCCTGTTGTTTTGTCGTTTCACTTATTTGCTCGGATTTTTTTTGTTAGCCATTATAGTTGTTTTTGTTTCGATTTGTCTTCTTGTGTTCGGCCCCGTTGTTTGGCCGATTACGAAAATTAATCGGTGTGAGTGTGTGTAAGTACGAGCGCGTACAATCATTGCTCATTGCCATGGTATGAGTGTGAATTTGTATGCATAGCAGATTGAAAGTAACAGAAACAAATTGTTAACAGAGAGTCATCGAAAGTGTGTGCTTAGTGGTTGTTATCAGTTTCAGAGGCTTAAAGACATTGTTCGGTTCTTCTTCTGTTCTTTAGCCATTTTTTTTTTGTTACCAAAGTGGTGGTGTGCCGATACTCATTCGGTCTCATTGTAGTCGTCGTCATCGTCGTCGTTGTCATCGTTCGACGACGTTTTCGTTGTCAATTATTCGTGCTGCTCATCGTGTGTACACAAGCACAGCAATTGTGCAATATGGTTCAGTATTCCATTGACTTACGCGCGTTAACGATCGTGTCATTCTCTGTTATGTGTTATTCTGCGCTCACATTTGTCGTTCTTTCTTTTTGACTGACTTTTGCAAAGGAAATCAAAATTAAAACCATTTTCATTATATCTTGTTGCATGTTACAGTGAATAATAAAGCAAGCAGAAAAAAAGTAAAAACGGTAACAAAACCACAGAAAGCCATTTATATATATTAAAAAAAATCGAAACTAGATAGAATTTATTCAGAACTCCGGATTCCATTCAAGCGAAACAGAAATCATTCTCGGATGTGTGGTGCTCATTGATTCAGGCATTAGATTCTGTTTCTGAGTTTGCCATTTGTCAGTGCATTTAATATATATACATTAGAACCACACACAGAACCAATTTTAAAAAGAAAAAAAAATATGGTGATTTTGCTCTTTTCATTGTGCTGTTTTTTTTTTCTTCATTCCATCGGTTGTTTGGATCAGCGCGAAAGTGATTGCATGTACATGAGTGAGTGCTTTATAAGTGGCTGAAATTTTATAGAAACATTTTGTGGTTTGCTGTGACCATGCATTTTGTACTATTATATCAACACACATCACATTTCTCGCTTAGCGACCGCGCACTCGCTCGCAATTCATTATATCGCGCATACATTTGTGAGTCCCCGATGCCATCTCGTACAAATGTTACTTTGAACAGAAAACAAAACAAAAAAAAATCATCTTAATGAATTTCTTGTAATTCATTTTTCTTTCTTTTCGATGATCGTCCTCGGTACGTGCGTTATTGGATACTGGTTTTGTTAAATGGGCACGAGCATGCGCAATAGACTTGCGCTTTTTCGGTTTTCATTAAATTTTACTATTACTGCTGCTGGTGCTGCTATTATTGTTTAGGATCGTGTGCGCCGATTGTGTTGTGTGTTTTGGGTCTGTTTATTTGTACGAAAAAAAACACGCACACATTTTGCTGGATGAATTCTTTTCGAAGTCGTGTTGCAGTCGTCATCATACACCGCAGAGTCATACTCTCTTTCTCTCTCTCTCGCACACACTCTCACTTGCTATGTCTGTCTTCTTCATTTGTGTACTAATTTGGTATATACCAATATATTTCATGTGTTGTGCGCTGTGCTCGCTGTGGCCAATATTGTTTTTTGTTGTTATTTTATTTTTGGTATATGTGTTCGGATATACGATATATTGACAAAACGTTTGCTGCATTAGCATTAGCGCTTGAGCACAACCAATCAGTTTGATTGTTCATGCGTTAAATGCTGCCCCGAAGACTCTCTTCTTCATTCGCTCGTGGTATATCGTTTCGTTCATCTCGTTCAAAAGGAGTCGCTGTTCGTATTATTTCTTTTTTCTATTTAATTTCGACACACAAATTCCGGAATCCGGATATATTTTTAACTTGAGCTTTAAACACTTTTTTTCTTTGTTTTCTTCCATGCTATATAGTGATGAATATTTTTTTCTATTCTAATTTTTGTCTATTCAGTGCGAGTTGTGGAGTTAAACGATGTGCAATGACATCAGTCGTCTTCCAGAGATCGAACATTATGTGCCTTTAATTGAAAAGTGATGAGTGATTTTTCCGTCAATTTAACACATTTTACATTTTTATAAACTGAAAGAAGAACGAAAAAGAGAAAAAACATTGAACCAAAACCAATAAAAAATTGCCCAAAATATCAAAAGAAAAAAAGTCGTGAAGGAGAAGAGAATCAAGAGGAGCGTAAATACGGAGGAGCATCAATTGTTGCCGGGGCGAGCGGCCATTTACTGACGAAATATCACCATCTTCTTGCTGTGAGTACATATTTTATTTCTATCTTTCCATTTTTTTCCACATTTAACGGGTAAACAAGCAGATCGTATTATCAAGAATACATTCGGTTTTTTTTGCCTTACCATTAAAATTGAAACTTATCTTTTGAGGAATTTTTTATCTCTACCATATTTCTTGTTGCTTCGTTTTCTTCGTTGCTTCTTGAATCGCTTATCAAGAAAAAAGCATAATTTTTGTTGGACCATAATATGTAATTGAAAGATTTGGCAACGATCATTTCTCCATTATCTCTATATTGTTGGTTTGAAAACCAAAGTTTATCTTGAAAAATATCAGCAAAACAACAGTCAAGTAACCGTATGACTTCACTGTACACAATGAGACCACAAAAACGTCGACTCTGCGCTTTTTTTTCAGTTGTTTAATCTATACAAAAGAATTAATGAAGCCAAACTGTAAAAAAAAATCCATTTTGACTGTAAGAGTGATCGTGTCACAATCGAATCATTTTACTGATTATAAAAGAAAAGAACAAAAAGAATGAAATAGACCAAACGCAAACAATGAACGCGCTTTCGGTACGCTCATTGAACAAATATAAATCGTTGAAATGACCGAGATTACACATTGAGAATGCACATGCATCCGAGATACTGGATGTGTGTACATGACAGACGGCAATGTACGTTGACTCTTTTTTTTTCGTTTGTTTGTTTGAATGCGTCTAATTTTCGAAAATGTAGTGCTCTCCAAAGTTAAAATACATCACCTATTGCACTGATCGATCTTTGTTCGACGAGAGAAAAATATTTGCGCGCAATATGCACAAATACCAGCGCGCTCACATAAAATCTGAAAGAATTATCTGTTAAATCTACCATGACGGGAAAAAGTCACATAAAACACACCAAATAGGCAACGAAACACATTTGTAGCTTCTGCCGATGCTGCTTGCTGGCATTGCTGATTTGCTTGCTCATTTCATAATTCGACGCTGTTGTTTTTCTTCATCGAGAGCTGCGTCGTGCAAAAAGAAACGCGCTGTGTTCTGTGGTTCGATTTTCGAACACTCCCGTTTCATATAGTGGCTTTCATCACTTTTCATGCGGTCGAGCTGCAAATAGGCAGAGGAATTTACATATGCAAAATGATGCAATTCATAGAAATCGGCTCATAAAAAGGAGCGCTGTAGCGCGCGCCCGAACACACACACAAAGAGCGCGAGTGAAATTTGGCTCAGTCAAAAGAGATCATCGTGTGCATTTCGAAGGCACTGTTGTTCCGAAAATAAAGACTGATTTTACACCCGAAAAAAAAAGATCATATTGTCCAATCAGACGTGCTTGTGCATCAACGAGAATGCACAACAATTTGACCAACGATAACGAAAATGAAACTAAACCTATAAACATTTTTCCTCTGCTGATTCGTTTGGTGTTGATTTATTTCTTCTTCTTTTTTTTCTCTCTTTTCGTTCGTAAAATTTGTGCACGGGCACGTATTCAATAGTAATAGTTATACATAAAGTAGTGCGCGCGCTCGCGCACATCAGCCACAGTCCATCATAATGTACGAGCATATGCGATCGAGCAAACGGAGAGCTATAATCGCAAAATCGATCTTGTTCATTGTACAAATGTGTGTACTTACTCGCAGCAATACCCGAACAAATGTACACTTTTGTTGTGTTATGTCGTTGTTGTTGTGCGTGTGGTGTTTTTTTTTCTTCTCTTTTTCGTCAAAGTTTTCTTTCGTCGATAAAAATTAGGTTACAAACCACAAAAATACTTGAAAATCCCATAAATAGGCACACACAGTGCGCGAGAGAGAATAAAGCACCACTCATACATGCGGCACTATTTAGCAGACGATATTAAAGAGAAGAAGAAGAAGAAGAAAAAAAATAACGATTACGACGATTTCGTAGATGAGTGCACGAAACAAAGTATGGCCTGGCCGCAAAGCATGTGTAAAATATTTTTTTAGATAGATATTTTTCGATCGTAAAATTACAATGCCTTTGCCTAGTGTCTTCATCATCTATTTTTCTGTTTTTTTTTCTCATGTGTCGAATTATTCGCTTTGCTCTCGGCACAAACTCATTTTCGTTGTCATTAATTTGCCTTAACTCGCCAACTACATTTCTGCTGCTGTTGTTGTTTGATTCGGTTTATTGTTGCCTTCATGTGTACACCAAGTGTTAGAATTATTGCTGCTGCTGTTGCCGTTTAGTCGCAATGTAATGATTACTGATAACAAATATATTACCCAGTCTCTTATTATGCGCAGCGTTTTTTTCTTCTTTCTTGTCAGAGCTTCTTCATTGCTTTTCGGTTCGTACAAATAAATTTTCATTTCAATGTTCGAGTACATCACAAGCAAAAGCAAAGACGAAGACAAAGAGACGAACAGACAAAAAAAAACGCAATGAAGACAGAGAGCTATAACAGAGAGAAAGAATAGGCAAAACGACACATTGTTTGCGCGCTACATGTATATATGCATATATGTGGCGGCGCGATATCATTGAAACCGACGACGAGAAACCAAAGAGTGTTCGGTCGAAAGCGAGCTCGGGCGCGCGCGCTCGCGCTCACGAACGAGATGGGCACAATCATTGAAGAAAAAAAAAAATAGAAGTATAATTGTGACAATAGTGTTTGAGCGTACAACGGAGAGACAGAGGCGAACGAGAGCATGGGGATTCAATATGCGACATATACACACAACTATTATAATTACAACCATAATTATTATTATTTCGATTTCGTTTAACTGGATGTTGTTGTTTTGAGCCTCTGTGTATATATGATTGACTCTCTGCGGCTGCTGTGGTTACTTGTCACTCATGATTAGATTTTCTAAGCGTGTTTCCTTCGTTGTGTGCGCGTGTGTGTCGATGTGTTTGGTCGATATGCGTTTTTATTTTTGTTGTTGTCCTTCTTCACATCTACAACAAATTCATTCTTTCAAACGCCATTTTCTGCGCTATTTTTTGCTTTACTTCTTTGTCGCTCTCAATTTTCTAGAAGGAATAGAGAAAAATAACAACCACACAAAAAACGAAAATAAAAAAAAAACAGAACACGAAAAGTAATAATAATAATATTGAGAAACTAAATGCCTAATCTATTGCATACATCGGCCATAATGGCATTGGCTTATCGCTGTTGCCTTCATTCCATAAGTGTGAACCAATTCAGTGCTTCGACAACTAAATCAATATGTGTGCTATTTTGAGTTGTAGATTATTGATATTCAATTGCCGTAGTTTCTGGTAATTTTAAGTCGATTGAGAGTGACGGAGAGAGAATTGAATCGAACTGCTTGGAATTATTATTATTATTATTATTGTTGGATGGCTAACTGGCTCATTTCATTTGGCTTTTGCACAGGCATAGTTTTTTTTTCAAAGACATTAAACGATCGCACATACGAGTGACACTTTGATGTGAGTGTGCGCGGTTGTGAGCTCTCCGTGAGTGTATGTGTCAGTGCTATTTTTCTGTTTGTTGATTAATTTATTCACAAACTACGATCTTCAAGGTTTTTCACTCGACAAATTCTAATGCAAACATTCCGAACGAGAGAAGTAGCTCAACGTCTCAACGTAAATCGAGAAAGAAAACAGCAAGAGATGAAGTAACAATAACAATAATCACATTGCTGGTTTGAAGCAATGCAATGCCAAAACAGAAACCGAATACAACACGTAATTTCATTGGAACTTGACGCGATAATAAAAAACAATTTAGTTTTTTTTCTCGCGCTCAATTCTGTGGTTCACCAGAAAGAAGAATCGATAAGAAGGTGAAGATAAAAAAAAACCAATCCATAATCTGTGAAATTTGGTCTCTCAAATGAACAAGTGTGTCTCGTAAATGTGCAGCGATTTTTTTTGGTTCTTTCGCTGGTCGTTCGAAAAGGTCGTATGGTTCCGGTTCCAAGTGAATAACTTTGCAAATTCATTCTCTCCGGCTGATAAGCAACGACCACAAAGAAACACAGACGTCTTTTTTTATAACGATGGAAAATTCAATGAGCAAAGAATGAATCTTGGGTTTTTTTTCTCTTATTCTGAATATTGTTGGCCTTTTTGGTCAGTTAGCCAAGCCATTTACAAATTACAGAAAAATATTGATGATGATGATCGATCGTACGATACAAACATCGTCGCTTTAAAGCAAACAAAGAACTATATTTACAAGAGTTGAGTGTCTATGACATTAAACACCTTTGACCTTAGCTCTCGCGTACCAACAACAAAAAAGAAACGATTTCCATGTATTTTTTTCATTGAATCACTCCACTCCGGTTTTTTTCCTCGAAATATCGGTTAGTCAGTATGCATAGGAAATGGGATTTCGTTTCGAATAACAAGAGTATCGCACGGAATGTATCGCGCACGGAAATGGTACGTACGCAAGAGATAGATTTTTTTTTTGGTATTTAGTTCTGTAGAAAAAGTCTTATCATCGAAATGAAATGAAGAGTGATCGCGACTGTATGAAATATGCCAAAGGCCAAATAAAAAAAAAACATATTTACATTACAAATCGTCATTGAAGTAAGAGGGACAAACGGTCATTGTGACAAAAATGCGATCGTAAAAGAATTCTTTTGGTTTGACATTTTTGTTATTGTCAAGAGACGATGACGGCAACGTCGATTGAGAGCGCGCGCGCACCCGCGCATACACACATAAATCGAAGAAGAGAAAAAAAACGGCTGAACCAAAATATATGTTGCCGTCTCACGCGTCTGCAGAATGAATTCGATCGAGTATTCAAATTTTGTTGCTATTATTTTGTTGTTTTTCTGCTCACGGGACAATTTTTTTTGTCACTATGTCTTCATTTTTATTACCGCTTTGGGCAGTCAAAGTGTTTAGAGACGCTAGCCAATATTTTGTATATAAATGTGTGTTAATATAACATTGTGTCTGAAAAATATCGCACTATTCAAAAGTCATTTGGATTTTTATTTTCTGCGCATTGTTTCTTTTTCATTCCTCTTCTTT